TTTACAAAAATATTTTTAAAATTACTTATTAAAAATATTTTTAAATAATTTTTTTTCAAAGTTATTTTGTGTAGATATCCAATCCAACACATTTAACACAAAATTCCACAAAATTTTATTAAGCTAACATGTCTTGTACTATTAGAAAATCTTGTTTGTAATATCCTAAAGAATATATCTACAAACTTTTGTAAGTTTTGAATACTTCATTATTAAAATATAGATGAAAACATTACATGCCACTATTTTTGTCAGAAACTGTAATTATATAAATATAATTATTAATTTAATTATATATACTAATTTTATATAATTATTTATTTAATATTTAATAATAAAATATTTTTTATAATAAAATTATATTATCTAATATTTGCTATCTTTCTTAAATTTATAAATTATTATTATTATTTTTATTTTAATATAAAGTAAAATTTTAATATAAAAAATATTTTTTGTATTTTATTAATAAATTTTTTATTATTATATTTGTTTAGATTATTATTTATTATTTCAAAAATAACAAAAGATAGTTTTATTTATATTACATTTTGTATTAACTTGTTTAGTTCATAAAAAACTTCTTAATTCATTTTTGCTTTTATTATTTCCAAAAAGAAAAATCCAGGCTTTTTATGATATCACATTTGAGTACAAGAAAATCACTGTGATTACTTACCAATTTTGAAGTTGTCATATTTTGTTATCAGCTGAAAGATCAATTCACAAGATACTTATCTGATTTTCACAAAGACAAAGACCAAAAGTTTATACGTAAAAATAGTTTAGTCATCTAACCGTTCGTTTTGCTTAATGGATTTTTATTAAACACGACCTGGGTGAGAACAAGGTAACGAGTGATGGATAGAGCATTTTTCAGTAAATTTACTGTATATTGGTCCGTCCGCTCGATTGTGTATTGGGGCTGATCATCAAACAGATCTGTACACAATGTATATTTTTGATCATGTACTCGCATTTTATTAATTTGAGAATACTTGAAAAGAAAGTGTCTACAAATTCACTGAGATAATTACCTACCTAAACCTTTCCTCCTGTTATGCCCAACAACAAAAAGTCCAATACTTTCACCGTTCCACGTACGATTCAGACAAGGTCAACCACTTCGCGTGGCATGGGTAATACCATTGCAAGGCAAAACCAAACTACAGCATCGACTAGTTCGAGAGGCCGTAGACCCAAAGCTAATACCCAACGTGCAAATGCTACTTCTCCGCCAAGTCCCGCTCAAAGAACGTATGTATCTGAAATCACGCACTTGATGTCATTCGTGAAGAAAACTCGGCATTTAATTCTAATTTCCGCTTTCTGGTTTTGGTTACCTTTTCTTTTTTGTTGGCGCTGTGTTTCTATGCAAGGACCAAAAGACAACGCGTGTTAAGTTTTGATGAAAAACTTCAGCAATGGTTTGATCAATATAAAGGTTAATAAAAAGTCGATGCTTATTATCAAGGTTGATCATTTTTGTTGCACTTTGATTTATGCACAATCTACCCAAATCATTTTTATCGTTAGATCCCGAAGACGAGGAAGGTAGAATTGGACATCAAGGATTTGAGCAATGGATGAATGATTTACGCGTTGATATGGACAGTGTAAGTTTTTTCTCATATATTTTTTATTTATGTGAATGATCGCTCGAGATATTTTTTTTTGATTTTGCGCATTAATATTTTATTTGATTATTTTTAGGAATATCCTCTTTTGCTATGTTGGAAACTAAGGGTCTCTACAATGGGTGCGCTAATTAAAAACTCGTTTCCCAGAAATTTTCCAAAAAAATACTAATTTCATTCAAATTTTTTTTTTCCAAGGTTACGTAACAAAAGAAGAATGGATTTCGGGATTTAAAAAATGGGGGTTAAGCATCCTTTATGTTTATCATAATTTACATATATGTTCCGTCTTATCTGACACCTTTACTTGTCCAGGGTTGAATCGAATGAGCAGTTGAAGATGAAGTTGCCAGAACTGAATAACACGCTTACATCTCCTGACTTGTTTAAAGACCTTTATCGCTATACATTCGATTATGTCAAAGATAAAAATCAGAAATGTATTGATGTTGAGGTATTTACTTTATTATACATTCTTTGATAATGATATAGAAAATATCCTATTAATATAATAAACATTAGGTTGCGATATACATGTGGGATCAATTATTTGCAAAAAGACCCACCCCTCATGTAAAGGAATTTAGCGAATATTTAAAGGTAATCAATTTATAGTTAAAAGAACATAAGACTCTTATTAGTGAATTCATCTTTTTCCAATAAAAATAACTTCCCTTTTCGCGTGCGCTATTATTCAATAACAGCAAGCGAAACAGCCAAAAGTTCTTACACGAGATCAATGGACCAACTTTCTAGAGTTTGTCAATACAATTGATGAAACTCTTTCGAATTATGACTTAGAATCAGCATGTATTGTCAGAATTTTTCTTTACTTGCTTGATTCAAAATTTTTACAACAAAAAATGGATCAATTTTTTAATTTTTTAATTGCAGGGCCTTGCGTGTTTGACGAATACGCAGAATGGAGAAAAGCTAAAAATGATAAAACCCGTTAATATTCTAATATTCTTTCTAATTAATATATCAAAAAAGAAAACACTTAAGCCAAACATGCGCATCTTATCGTTTTTGTCCAAATTCATAAGAATACAATAATTTATTTATCTAACAGGAGACAGAAAAAGAAGCAACCAAATCTCCGCAACCTTTGTTCTCTTATTCTTTTAATCAAACGATAAAGTTGATCGCTTCAACTTTGGCTATCTATAATCATCAGCACACTTTCCCTTATAAGTAACAAAAACATGTAGTTTTGATTTAGAATATAAAAATATAAAATTGACTTATTATTATTCCTTTATTTTATTATTTTCAATCAACACGTCCAACAATCTGCTATGGCTAGACTAAGGGAATAAAACTACATACATAAACGTAAAACGTGTATGAATTAATAGATGTTCTATCTTTTATAAACTTTATTTTACGAGAAACCCCTAATGTAAAAATTAATAATTATATCTTTTCTAATCTTTATCTTCCTCCATAAAATCAGGATTCTTTCGAAGCAAGACAAATCCTTCGAGAACATGTGACAGGGGGATATCTAAAATTCAAATCATGCATATATAGTTAGTTAATTTAAAAAGTAATTAGAAGATTTTTGTGTCAAAGATACGTACATTCCTCTGTCGCTATTTCGGCACGTTCCGAATGTGCCAACAAAACTGGTGTAGAATGAGTTTGAAATCCGGTAATAGTTTTGGGTCGACCAGCTTGTCCCACAACATCAACAGCCTATTACCATGATCATTAGTATATTCCAATATATTGGGATTTATTTATTAGCTTAATCAAATAATTTTTTTAATGCACACCTGTCCTACGCGAACTGTCACCGGTAAGCTGTTCAAGTCTTCATCGAGTGTAATCAAAAATCGGGGATACATAGCGGTAGTTAGGTAATAAAGGAACCAATGGTGTCTGTTCAGAATAACTGCAAGAATATATATAATCATCATCACAACAAAGTCAAATTTTGAAATTCATATATTCGAAAAAAATATTCAACAACTTACGTGTCTTGGCGTCTGTAAAAGCGATGATAGTTGCCAGTAGGCCAGCAATCGCGACTGAAGACATCAACTGTCTGTCAGAATGGAATGGATTGACCGATATCGTTCCTTTACCCATATGTAGAAGACCCTGCAAAATAATTAATCACACCATCACCATTAATTACAAACTTAACATCAATACACAAGCTCGTTAAGTTTTACCTGTGCAATTCGAACCATGAATAAGCAATTCGGCTCTTTATGATAATAAGAAGCCAATTGCCTTAGCATTTGTGCCAAGCGTGCATTATTTGTTCCCGCTCCAATAAGACCCATAGCAAATATAGCATTTATCGCGACTTCAGTGTCATTGTCATGCGAATATTTACTGAGCGTCTCCATCACATTTAGAAGGGGATTTGAAGCACAGAGTAATCCTAGTGCTAAAGGAACTGCGCGACGAATCACGGGTTCTCCATAGTGCATCTAATATCGAAAGTATATTTTAATTTTGACAATTAACAAACAAATGCATAAAACTAATAAGGTCACGATAAATTGCACAAATTGATTATTATTACCAAGTGGTTAAATGATCTCATTGCCATTTCTGCACCAATGTCTTCGCCCATAGCGATCAAGGCAATTCCAATCACAGCGAAAGCTTGATGCAGATCATCTTCTTTCTCTTTGTCTAAATGATCGTTACATAAGTGTAACATTTTTTGCACTTTTAGTACGTTCCCAGTACCTGTAAAAAATTTAAAAATCAATTTTTATTTTTCCAAGCATAATAAATTCAGAATTAAGAATAAAAAACAAACCTGCGTATGAGCAAATCTCAACTAAAACAGCAACCTGTTTTCCAATGGGATGTTCAATGGCTTTTAAAGTCTCCAAGGTAACTTCAGCAGCATCTTGCTTGCCTATTCAAATAATGCGCGTTAAGTCACTTAATCATATTATATATATATATATATATATATGAGCTACCAGAATCTCATACCAAGATATAATAACGCTAATCCAAGTCCCATAAATTTTCCCCAGGTTTCTTTCAATGCTTCGTCCTTACGCTCCATCATAGTTTGCAGAATGGTACTTGTTATTTCGCCGTGACATTCACCAACAAATATCATTCCTAGTGATAGAGCGGCCAGTGAAGCAATTTCCATGCTTAATTCGACGTCGTTTACCATCTGTATAAGCAAATCGAATATTTTTTCGTCATGTGACCCGACGTATGCCATTCCAAGTCTTTTTTCAAAAAATTAACAAGTCCAGAAAAATGAATGGATCAAAGATATAATAAAAAAAAGTCTTAAAAAAACATACCCAACAATGGCACTTATTCGTATTGTCGCAGACTTATTTTCAACTTGCTCGGACAACAATGCAAAAGCAGGATCATTTTCGTTTCTTACACCCGCGTGTACAAGACCAATGGCAAGATAAGTTCCTGCCTGAAATATCCCGACGACGCGTCAGACATGTATCTTTGACCAAGAAGTAAAGGATCAAGAGAGAATTACCGGGCAAATATGCGTTTGCATATGCACTGTGCTTTTTTGTTAAATAATCCGTACCTACAAGCAATTATTGAACAATTTGTTGATGAATCAATGCTCAAAATAATGGCAATTGCACCAACCAACAACTGGTTGTAAGCACGGATTATGAGAAGAGCGAGCCCAATACAAGTGAATTGAGACAGCCACGCTTCTTTTTTTTTTAAGTTTGGGAATAAAGTTTTTAAAATGATCACCTTTATAAATTCCTCATTCGAAAAAGTATATTTATCGATACGTGATAAACCAACATCAGTGTCCCATAACATGATCAGCCCTAGGGAGGCGGCGGCACTTAACATTCCTAGTAAAGTAATCCGTTCAGTCAGCAGCAAGAATTTTACGATATTTGCGAATAGCACTTAAGACTTTACCGTGATCTTTATTTTTGTAAATCCAGTTATTCCCTTCTTCAACTGATATTAATTTATCGTTTCCAAATCCTGCATTCACAAACGCGTTAACAAACGTGGATGCGAGATTTTGCCTTGCCGAATCTACGTTGCCGCTTGTATATCCAGGCCCTATACGAAATAATTATTTATCAATAAATAAAACAAAAAAACAAACAACTTGAATTAATCTAGAAAAATTAAGCTCACTAATATTTTCTAAATGACTTTTATAGATATCCTCAGGCGTTTTTGCTTCATAGACATCAAGTTCTTTAGCAAGCGCGATGAAATGTTTCGATAGATGAGAGTTATTCAGTATTTCTTGAATTGATTCGTCTTCAGTTTCCAACAATATATGAGACCTTGCCAAATGAAAAGCGATTTGTTTCTGTAGTAAACTAATAATATAAAAATTACTCCAATTAGCCATTTAAAATAAGGATCGTTAGTTAAAAATATAAAGTAATTTGTTTCTTACGGGTCTATTTCCCCGGCTTTTTCAAAATCCTCCCGAATCAAATCAAGATCCTGGAGTCGGATAGCGAGAGATACCGCCTCGGTATACTTATTATGCTGTCGATATATCGTATGCGCTGTACGAAGAAAGGCAATGTCATCTGGAGGAACCAATAAATTAACGCAACTAGCAATTCCAAGACAATTTAATCGAATTGAATTGACTCACTAACTCAAATATTTAGAAAGCAGAAAGAAAAAAAGGAGGTTGAATATTTCTTTACCTGACCATGTACAAACAAACGCGTGCATATGTATCCTTATCAACAAATTGTGGTAACTGATCAATCGCTTCTAACTCTAATAATAGATCAACAGCATCTGCTTCAGCATTATGTTTCAAGAAAAAAGGAACGATCTCGAGAGAAAGCGTCATCAAATCATCAATGGGAAGATCTTGTTCTGATCGGTGTAGGAATTCTTGGCCGATTTCGGTGGATACATGTCTATTCGAAAAACGGAAAGATAATGAATAAAATTTAGTGACATTGATAGTAGATAAAAGCTTATTTTGGAAAAAAGCTTACCTCACATATTCATGTCCCCAAGAACCGGGATCTTCACGAGATCCTTGTAATCTGTATTTTAGAGAATCTCTTTTTCCTTCATCATATGTCATAGCCAAGACTGATAAGATGTCGGCGAGTGCAAGCTATGAATTGAATATTTATTAGATCTAATTAAGATCCAAGAATAAACATACTAATAATTATACAAACCTTGTTGTCAGATTGGTCCCAATTTTCGTATATTTCAACCACTGTGTCATAGTGAGGCCGCAAGAATTTTAAAGGCTTTGGAACCGAGGTCATTGAACTAGTGGATGTGCGGATCAGGGTCCGTAAACTTTCCAATGCTGGCCTATGAAGTTCAAGGTTATTTTCCTAAACCGAAAAAATGCCACATCCAATCTTAATTAATTCAATCGCCAAAAATCACGAACCGAGAATCAGATTTCAAAGATCTTTACCTTTAATCGCTCAATCAACATTTCCAATTCACTTTTTAATTGTAAATCTTCTTCAGACTGAGAGTTTTGTTTTTGCGTTAGACAAAATAAACGAGTAAAGAGAATTCGGTTATTGACTGAAAAACCGCGTTTTTTCAAAGAACAAGACGCGATAAAAGGTGATTCTCTAGATGTGCATATGTATACTTTAACTGCATCAAAGGAACCAAATTCATTTTATCGAAATATTAACCGAGAAACATCCCGGAGAAGGCTGAGGTTTTGATTAATTAGAGACGCAAGAATGCCTGGTTTCAGACTCACCAATTCTTCGACTTCGTCTTTTTTATCCTTGTCACCTCCGCCTGCTTTTTTTCCTCCTCCATCTTCTTTGGCTTTTTTGTCCTTTATGGGAGTGTCCTCCACAGGAACAGCCGTAGCTTTCGTGTCGCGTGCCATATAATTTAAAAGCGAAAGTAAAATAATATAATAAGCAAAAAATTAAATGATACAATGGACGAAAATTAGCGTGCGTAAGCTGTTTCTACCCAGATGTTAACTCAGATTTGCTTACGTCATCTTTTTTTATCTCGTGTGGCATTGAAAAGTTTCTTCATTCGAAATTTTTTTCGTCGTTTGGTTCTTACCTATCAAAATAATAGCTAATTATGGTATGAAATTATAAAGCTCGTTTTGAAAAGATTCATATATAGAGTAACGACCCGAGAAACCTTGTAGTAATGTGATTTTTTTTAAATTTACCAAAAAGAATATTGAATTTCATGCGTTATTGCGCATTCTACACTTTTATAAATTAACTAGAACGAAAATAGGATATCAATCCATCCATTTAAATAATTCGAATAATCAACCCATTTTTTACTGTTATCTCAATAAATTGCTATGAAACGAACTGTAATAATCCAACTTTTGAATTGGATCTTTAGGCACGCGGACCGAGAAAACACTTGAAGCGAATCAATGCTCCAAGCCATTGGATGCTTGACAAACTTACTGGAACTTATGTAACTATTTCAAATTTTTATTGATTTAAGTTTAAATGTCTAATAGCATCATCATCATCATCATCATCATCATCATCATTTAACGATATTCTAGGCACCAAGACCTTCTCCCGGTCCCCATAAACTTCGTGAGTGCTTGCCCCTCACTATCTTTTTGAGAAATCGTCTCAAGTATGCACTTACTGGCAAGGAGGTGCAAAGTATTCTTATGCAACGTCTTGTGAAGGTCGATGGTAAAGTGCGGACGGACACAAAATTTCCAGCCGGATTTATGGGTAATTTTTTTTACTTGATCCAATAACATACCTATAAACACATCATGATTGCTAAATCGATTTATATTTATATGAAAAATATATAAAGATGTAATCTCAATTGAGAAAACCGGTGAAAACTTTCGTTTAATCTACGACACTAAGGGACGTTTCACCATTCACAGGATCACCGCTGAAGAAGCAAAGTACAAATTATGTAAAGTGAAAAAAATGCAAGTTGGTGCTAAGGGAATCCCATTTATTGTCACACATGACGGACGTACTATTCGTTATCCGGATCCGCTGATTAAAGTTAACGACACGATCAAATTCGACATTGAAACTAATAAGCCTACCGAATTCATTAAGTTTGAAGTGGGAAATGTCGCGATGATAACGGGCGGTCGTAATATGGGGCGTGTTGGAATTATAACGCATCGGTAATATATAAATTATTTGATTTTTATTCTTTATTACACTGTTATTTAATTGACTTCATCTTAATCAATGACTAGAGAAAAACATATCGGAGGTTATAATGTAAGTGATAAAAAATTTTTTTTTGATGTTAGCAATTTTAAAGAATAATGCTATATTATTTTTTTTCTGTTGTATCATTAGATTGTCCATGTAAAAGACTCTCAAGAAAGACAATTTGCCACGCGTCTTAACAATGTTTTTGTTATTGGTGAAGGTGCGAAACCATTTATATCATTGCCTAAAGGCAAAGGTGTCAAAGTGAGTATTATTTTTATAAAGTAAAATTTTAAATATGCTTAGTTTCTTTTCAGTGTATTTATAATAAACTAATTTTATAATTTTTCATCTAGCTTACTATTGCTGAAGAACGTGATAGGTTTGTTTTTTTTTTTCTTTTTTTTTTTTTACTTTAAAAATTTCATTAAAATACTTGCTTACTTAAAAACTTCTTCATGCATAGACGTCGTGCTCAAGCAGCTCAATAGTCATAATAGCAGTAATTGTAGTAACAAAATTAAGCTGTTGTCCAAAAAAATATTATTATTAGTAGTGCTTTTTTCTCTAGAAATAATAAATAACACGAGGAGAAATGATTATTAAAAATAAATATATAAAAACAACCAACCCAATCTTTATTTATTTCTATAATAAAAAAATTCAAAGGTGTAGAATAAAATAAAGTCATTGATGATCACAATTTACAAGTTTCTATAATACAGAAAAGAAAGTGATTTAATTTAGGGAGGAAATGCTTGCGTTAACAGTGTAAGTTTAGATACATTATTATTCTATAAACATAAATAACTGATGATGAATCGAATAAAGTGAGACTGTTGTTTTATCTCTGTTTGTGTATGATTATTACCAGCACTTATTTCTTTCTCATGTATATTATTATTATTATTATTATTATTATTATTATTATTATGATTATTATTATTATTATTATTATTATTAGCAGTATTATTATTATTATTGAAAAATTCAATCGTCTTCGTCCTCATCTTCAGAAGTTCCGTATTCATCCATGTCTTCGTCTATATTTTCGTCTTCGTCGGACGGTTCATACCAGAAGTTATCATCGTGATCGTCTTCTATCCTTGGTTTATGGAGGACGAATTCATCTTCTACGTGTTATTTGGTTCTTTTATTAATATATTGGAATTCCACAATTAGCATTAATTTGAAGCAAAGATACTAACCACGAGTAGGTATTTTTAATCCAGCTGGAATATCTTTCTTTGAAGCTTCTACTTGTGCTACACAAGTAAAGAAATTTAAGTATTAAAAATTTTTTTTAGAAAAGTGCCTTATTTGGAAGAAATCATAACATTCAATTTAACACCAACCTCGAACTATAGAATTATATGATTCTCGTTCTTTGCGATACATGACCTAAATAAATAAAATTTTTAGAGCCAACTTTAAATAGCATATAAATATAATATGCATATATATATATATATTATATATAGCTAAAATATTTACCCCGGCATCCTAATATTAATATGAATATATATATAAGTTTCACTGTGAATACAAGTTTCATTATAGCATAATGGACAATTTTGACAAAAATTCATTTGATCGTGAAAGTAACCTACCACATTGGCGGGACTTGAGCAATTGGGATCCACTAGTAAGCTCACAATACTTATAAGAATACCTGTGAAAAAGAAGAAAGATTAGGAATTGTGCATCATTGATTATGCATTATTCAAAGTGAATATTATTAGTAATGGAAAACTCACTTTCTACGCTTTGTGTTGGATTCCAACGTTCCTAATATCAAAAAAATAGCTTGCATTTAGTTTTAGTCATTTTTATATAATCTTCCATCATAGAATCATCGACATACCGCAGCAGTCTCTCCGCTAGTAGGATCATCACCCGGAGGATGAAGAATTGATATGCAAAGGCGGCCATCGGAATAGACTGTTGATCCGTATTAGAGCAAGTAAAATTGTTATGCGAGATTTGTATAAAGTATTTTCATCAAAATGCATGAATAAATGCCATACAAATTACCATTTGGGTGGAAAAAGTCATTATTAAACTTGAAGGTCGGTGGGTTGAAGGGATAGTCATCTGGGAATTTAAGCGTCGCCTTTTTAAAAGTTTATATTTACGTATTTGTCTTTAGATACAATCTTATAAAAACAAGATTTCTTAATAACGTTTAATACCTTGAAATAGCCACCTTCATATACCGTATTTGGGGCGCCTATGATACCAACATCCCTATAAATCAAAAAGGGGAAGAAGGCACACACACAGATGAGCAAGGGCCGAAGTAAGGTTAAAAAGTCAAAGACAACCAGGTTCCTTCCTTTACCATTCAAACACGTTGCTATCATCGTGCAAAGCTACAGTAAAGCCAGGCACAGGATTGTTGGTAAGTTCTAAAAGTCCATAAGAAAAAAATAGGTAGAAACGTTATTTTATGCAAAATGGTCAATGTATGTGTTTAGGTCAACAAAGATCGAAATGATAAAGACCTTTAAATTGCTTTAACAGAATATTCGCGGCGCTCGACATTTGTAATGATATTTTTATTTAACTTTCGAGGTTGAATAATAAGTGTGGCAAGTAAATAAAGGAAATTAATAATAGGATTTTAAAATACAACAGTATATCTTTATATACCAGTAGACGGACCTCGTTCTCCTTTGAATCTCTAAAGATTCATTGTTCTAAATGCATGAATTGCATGCAGAATAGATGCACGTGACAATTATTACATTCGGGGAAGTTCGTGAAATATGCACATATGGTATTTTGGCAAAGAAGAACCCTGGACATGTTTAGATCCGATTTTTAAATCACGATCGTGGGAAAAATTTTTAATAACGACGCGTTTTTTTTATCACACGTATTATGATTATTATTCATTACACGTAATTTTTTTTTAGTATCATTGATATTATAATGTCTTACCATTCACAAATGCAAAAAGAGAAACCAAACGGCAATACCGATAATTTCACAAGAACAACAAGAAGCGACACAAACCACTCCTTCACATTCACCGAAGACGGAGAAAAAGATAGAACAACCCCAGAAATAACCCCTTCTCTCATAGTGAGACCTTGCCTTATTGGCGGTAGTAGTGATGATAGTGAAGAGGAGGAGGAGGAGGAGCAACAACTACACTTTACAGAAATCAATCAACGAGAATTTGATTCTGTGCTTGCCAGTGTAGACTATCATGCCCCGTCGCACGTCTATGAACCAACAGTTCACACTTCACCTAATGACTTGTCGACCTTGAGTGTTTTGAGTACGACCACTAACGCCACTGAGGCGGTATCAGTCATTGAGAATATTTCTGTCAGTGATAATATTGATGGTAATAGATATAATATTGGACATAATTATAATACTATTGGAAATAATATTGGCAGCAATTTTGTTAGAAACAATAATAATCGTATCGGTGAGTTTTTTCATATTTTATGCCGGGATTAAAGTTTTTAATTAGTATGACATATACACGCTTGTGTTATATCTTATAGTTCAACGGATCGAGCGGTCCACACAAGTCACCAAAATCATTATGGATAATCAGACAGGAAATGTCGATTATTCGAAATTAAGAAAAATGATTGAGCGGTCTTCAGGCGCGGAAAACGATCCAGCTGTGTTATCAGAAGTATGCTGTCATTTGTGATCGAATTAATTGTCAAGATTTATATTAATGAATAAATTAATTGTTTTTTTAGAAATTTTCAAAACCAATGCTGGTAAGTTGTTTATTATATTAATTCAAGAAGGATCGTTCATATAATAAATATCCCTGCATTTTATTAGACAAAAAATAATTTAATGCCAGAGCCCTCGACAAACTTGCAAACACAAATGCATGAAGATAGTGAGCTAAAAATTGCATCTACTGTTAAACCTCAAAGTAGCATTAATGATAATAATGACTTTACGAAGGTAAATCGAATAATGGGCTTGTATTTGAAAATTTTCAATTCCTTTGATATCGAACTTTTCCTTGATTCAATTTAGGAAACGACAGTAACAACTATGGTAAAAATTCATTAAAACCAAAAATGATTCAGTTGACAAGAAATAGCTCAATAATCACATAAATTCATGCCATTGAGTATAGCTAAAATCCGCGGAAAATAATAATGCTGTCCCAACTTTCTCGATCAATTCCCCAGAAACAATAGAAGATATAAACGAAAATGCCAGCCAATCTCAGATCTATGAAGAACTCAGCAATAACTTGAAGGTATGTGAAAAGAAGACTTTTATTAAAGTATTAATTTCTCTCATGCGACCTTCGACTTTTAAATTTGATCGTCTAGGAACTAAGTAGGCCGATTCTGGTAAAAGGGATTATTTTTAAATTTTAGGCGTGTTGATAAATCAAATCTAAAAAAGTATTTTTATGTGATTAAACCTAGGCACACCCCGATGAACAGGATTCAGCGTCTATTTCTTCAAATGAACTACAGTCAAAAGTGCAAGATATAGAATACAAAAAAAATATCGAACCTCAAATAATTGTTAATGAAGAAACTATTCATGATTTCAAGGTATAGTAAATCAAAAGTAGCTTTAATTCGGCTTTTTGATTTTGCTGACGTTAAGACTTGTACTTTTTCATGTATTGAGTTTAGACAAAATCCGATGATGAGAATGATGATGATGCTGTTGTTGATATTGAGGATGAGGGTGATATTTATAACGAGGATAATGTTAATATTGATAATGAGGATAAGGGTGATATTAATAATGAGGATAATGTTAGTGTTGATAATGAGGATGAGGGTGATATTTATAATGAGGATAATGTTAATATTAATAATGAGGATAAGGGTGATATTAATAACGAGGATAATGTTAGTGTTGATAATGAGGATGAGGGTGATATTAATAACGAGGATAATGTTAGTGTTGATAATGAGGATGAGGGCGATATTGATAATGAGGATGAGGGTGATATTGATAATGAGGATGAGGATAATGTTAATCATAATAAGACAGAGACAGCATATTCTTCAACCGAAATGCAACCTAAAATACAAGACACAGGAAAAAGAACAGCCGAGACGCAAACTGAAGAGTTCATGAATTATGTGCAGGTATCTAATATATCAAATAATTCTATTTTTATTTCTCTCAAATCAATCCTTATTTTTCTTAACATGAAGGAATCAACATCATTGTTTCTGGTAAATATCAATTATTAAAGAAAAGTTCGTTACATGAGGAAATAAACTCAAATCTATTTACGTGTTTTCTTAGAGAAATTCCAATGATTATTCATTACAGGACGTTGAAATCAAAAAAACGGCCGAACCTCAAATCGATGTACAACTCATTCATGAGTTGAAAGCAAGTTTTTATGCTTATATAATTTTGTTTTGTTGACTGTCATTGATCGCAAAACGTAATAATTAATTTAGAATGCTTTGGAAGCTAATCTACAACAAACTCAAAGTCTTTCCTCGAGCCTTGAAGATTCAAAAACAAAAATTAACGAACTCACACAACAATGTACAATATTGCAACAAGCTTTAGACGAACAACAAAAAATCATAAAGGACAAAACTAATTCATCATCTGATAAGGATAATCATAATCATAATAATAATTTGGTAAGAAATTTTATCTGGTTATTCCATCAGCGTAAAATGATCATTAACCTTATCGTGGATCTTCCACAGTTTGCACCTTTGAATCATGACATACCAATACCACCAATAATAAATTATAGAACGGAATATGACCGGGATGAGGTGAGAACCATCATTTTTTCATTAATTTATTAATTCTCAATTAAGTTTCCAATTTTCCGTTACATTAAAAATAAATTACACCAGAATATTCATAATCACACAAGCGAAATTGAGCAACTACGCGAAGAAAATGAAAAGCTGAAATTGGAATTACTTGCGTATAAGAAAAATACAAGACTACATGGAATAAGTGTAGTAATTTGTGTAATTTTTATGATTCTCAAAATTATTTTACATTAGTATAATAACGTTTTGAATACAACAGGTTCCAGAGCGACAAAATTGGATGAAACACGTAACAATATTAAAAAAGACAAACTTTATTATAAGCTACAATTAAGTAGAATAGATAATCTCGAAGAGACGCAACTCACGGAACTGATAAAGGTAAAGTAAACGATTTCAATAATTTAGATCAATAAAAAAAATTAAAAAATTTAATCTAAAAAACCCAGGAAATCATGCTAATTCTCAAAGTCGATGATATGGACCAAATCGTACCGTCAATCGAACAAATAGACAAAGTGGTGCGACTGGTCCCACAACTATCTGATTTCATCAATAAAGTGGTGGATATTGTTCTCTGTGAACAAGACGAAGATGATGATCCTTATCGAGTCAAAAACTATAATAAAAAAGCCAACTCGGCGGTGGGTGCTGGCAGCAGCATTCCGCCTGAACAAAAATTATGTGCCACCATTGAAACGATACTTCAATGGCGTGACACAGTTAAGGAGATGGAACATATGGTTTCGCATCTTTTACAGAATACTCAGAAAAAATGGAGCAAGCAAAAGAATAATGCGCGTCGATAATTAATGTATCAATAAGATTGTTATTATTTTGAAAATCTTTATGAGATAAAGAATACTGTCGAAGTTTTGTCGTTCCACTTTATTTATGGTTAGTGTTGCGAAAACAAATTTAAACTACAAAACGATCGTTACATGTATAAATCAATACTCAATAGTATACATGCCTTCAAAACACTATTGAAGACGCGGATTGATTGATTTTCAAATAGAACGGTGATTGTTGCTTACGAGCTCATTTATATAATCACTGGCAAATACTATTACACAATAAATGCTTTGTTAATTTAAGCGATCTCTCCTTCATCGGTGATATATAAACTGTTTATTTTAAACTTGATTCTTTGAATAAATGCTATTCGTTGAATTATTAATTAAATGGATGAATAAAAGATTGTGATTACTCTTTTTTTAACTTTCAAAATCATTTCCCATGCTTTCAATAAAATTCTTCATCTGCTTTAACGAATATGCAGTTGGATTGGTTTGCAGAAACATATTCCACATGAATATGACATTTTCAAGTTCATCTCCTTTTATTACAAGTGCCTTTATAATGCTCAAATAAATATTTTCAGGAACTCGATTATATTTCATTTTCGTTATAGCATCCCATATTTTCCAGATCCAAGGCCAATTATTGAGCTTGATTAAATGTACAAATATAATGTTAAACGTGTCTGTGTTAACTGCAGGAAGTGAATTATCCTTATAATAATTTATGTCTTGATTGGCTGACTGTGAATGCAGCATCGAAGTTTTGTCGCTCGCTAACATTCCGATGAAGATTTCATATGCAAATTCTGCTGTATTCGATCGAGCAATTAACTCCCGTAGTAATTCGTTATATGATTCGGTGGTGCATTCTAATTCCGGTACAGCTGGCTCATGTACAGTATTTGGGCTTTTATACGCACGGAGCATTGTCTGGATCAAAATGTGATCTGGTGCATGTCCGGAAGCAATCATTTCATGATATATTGTGCTTGCGGCTTTCCTATCTTTGCCATATGCTTTTATCAGGGCAGTGAAAGCGACAGCATCAATTGGGATTCCCTTTGCTTGCATATAATCGAAGATACTTTGAGCTGTCTCGATATCGTGATTCTTAGCATACATCTCTATTAACGAGGTGTAAGTTATTTTATCGGGTTCCACACCTGCATGTTTCATCTCTGCAAATTCTCTTACAGCTTCGCCATATTCCTCGACGGAAATATAACCATTGATCAAAGAAGTGTATATTTTCAAGTCTTTAGCAATTCCCAATTTTCTCATCTTTTCAACGACCCGTTCAGCCATATCCATCTTCCGTTGTTTTATGTAACCATCGATCAAAATAGAGTAAACAAATTTGTTGGGATGTATCTCTTTAGCAATCATCTTCTGAAATAATTCTGTAGCACTTTCCATGTCTCCACGCCTAATATAATATCTGATCATGATAGCAAAAGTCGCAATATCCATCTTGATTCCCATGAGCTTCATCTCGCGAAGAATGGAATCTATCTCACGATCCTGCACATCAGTCGGTGTGGATCTATAGATGGGATAACTTAGGCTAAGAGCATTCTCAGTTGCTAAAGTTAACATGATACTAAAAGTTCGACCAGATGGACGTACGCTATTGTTTAACATTTGTTCATATTGATAAATCGCTTGTCCGAATGCATCTGAATTACCATGAAACCTTATATATTGCATTAATGTGTTATATGTGATACTATCGGGTTCAACGTTATACTTTTGCATTTCTTCAAATATTTTACCGGCCGACATGATGCCGTATTCCCAAAGGTAACCTCGAAGAAGTGTATTAAATACTCCCACATTTGGTAAAAGTTCTTCAGATTTCAATGTTTCGTACCACTTTATTGCTTCAACAAGATTTTTTTTCTTAACATATCCAGCAATAAACGTATTGTATGTTATCACGTCAGGCTTAAAGCCCAATGATTTTATTAGATCTAAAGTCTCTAGTGCTTTTTGGTAATCGTTGATCTTGGTGTACAGATATATAAGTACATTAAAAGTTCGAAGAGTTGGTTTTCTACCCAAAAATTTTAATTCTTCAAAGAGTTTAATAGTCTCTGATTTTCTTCCTAGACGCGCATAACAAGCCATGAGAGTATTGAATGTATCTACATCGGGCCTTAAATTCAACTCATAGATTTTATGATAAAGTCTCATCGCGGGTTCAATATTTTCACACTTACAATATCCGGCGATCAAAGTGTTTATTGTAAAAATATCGGGCGTCAGCCCTTTTGATTCCATCATTTCAAGACACTTGTTGGCCCCCATGAGATCATTCTTTTTTATATATCCGTGTATGATCGTATTATAAGTAGTAGTGTCCGGCTTTACGTTATACTTATCCATTTCTTCCAATAGTAGATGCGCCCCTTTAAGATCAGATTCCCGAACATACGCTAAAAGTACAGTATTATAAGTTACAATATTTGGTTTGACTGATCCCTTTTGCATCCCTCGATAAATTTGTATTGCGCGACGCGTCCTGTCGGTTCGTACATAAGCCGAAATCAGCGAGGTTAAAGTGTACACATCAGCCGGTATACCCTTATGTGTCATCTCTGTTAACACTGTTTCTGCTTTCTTATATTCTTTACATAGTCCGTAAAGATGAAGCATTAGATTGTACGCTTGATTCTCCAGTTCTAATTCCGTATACCGAAGATCATCGCGAATTTTGTTTAGACAATCTAGGAGAAAAAAGCCAGCTTCACAAGTTTTTAACATTACGAGCAAGTCCATGTAGTCGGTACGTGTCAATAAATTTAACGCGTCTTTGGCGGATATTCGTGTGTACGTTTTCCAGACATTGTCTGGCGTCTCTTCGTCTGATATCTGTTGGCGCAAAATATCTACCAATCTTTGATTTTGACTCGTAGAAACATCACCAGTCATTGTTTGCTTAGGCAACGGTTCTACAGCAGGATCGATTTCCTTCTTCTCTTCCCTTGGTTCCGTAATCTTTATTGAATCTGTAAGATTCGTTTCTTTGATGTTATTGTTGTTCTCCTCGTTCGTTTCTTTTATATCTTTTCTAACATCGCGACTTGCGTTGATGCTCTCGCTGGCTTCGATATCTGTTTGAACGACCGGTGAAGGAAATTCTGCCGTAGTCTCATAACGTCTGATAAAACGCCAGCGCAACGTCAAAAGTTTATTCAAGTTATGTCTGTTATATTTAATAATGTGTATACCAGGCTTTCGTGACTTTGGTAGGAAATATAAAAAGGCGATATTACATGTGCAAAACGGACGGTTTATTTGTTGAGGTATTATTATGGGTGTTGTTGATTCAAATATCGTTCTTGATTTGAAGATATTTCTGTAAATGTTATTCATAATGAACATTCATTGAGATTAAATGACGCGAGATTATTCTTTTTAGACGACATGTATATTGAGTCATTGATTATCGATCTTGTATACTGTAATTTGAAATCACACTTTTACTAATTTCACGATCAATCCAACGGCGCGAAAAGTGAAAATGTAAAAAAAGACGTATACTTAAATTTAGGTTTGGTGCATTAATTAATTAAAAAAATGTCAGGGAGACAAATTTTCATATAACGATAATTCTTTCTCTATACCTAACCCTAATCCTAATCCTGATCTTAAAATCGGTCTTTAATATTCTGAACCAATCAGAACTTGGGGAGAATCATTGCGCAGATATAATTGACTAATTCATTAAAGTGTCAATAGTAACAGAAAAAAAATGACAGATCATGTGACTTCAGATCATATTCTGTCTTTCCGAAGTTTCGCCCATGTAGATCTTCTTTTTTGAAATTAATAATAATATTATATTTGGTATTATATATATTAGTTTAATAAATAATATATTAAATTATTACTAATATATGGCAAAAAAAATGAAGAAAAAATATAATACTTTTTGTATTAATATATAAACTGTGAGATATTAGTATTTAATGCAATCAAAAAGTTAATCATTAATCTCTGAAGTGTTATATGATATATTACTAAGTTCTTGTATTAAGAACTTCATAATATTTATCAATTTCTTGTATAAGTAACTTGATTATTCTTTTGAATTCTTGTATGAATCTATTATTTTTCATATTTTCTTTCAACAAAAATATTTCTAACTCAAATATTTGCCTAATCTTATTTATTATATCTTTATTTTATTTAAAATCTTGATATTAATTAATAATAATATGAGAATTACTTATAGATATCATGAGTATACTGATAGTTTGCATATACCTATTTCAAAAATTATTATATATGCTAATTTGTTAATAATAATTTATATCAAAGAAAATAAATAAATAATTATATTAATACTTTATAAAGATAAAGCAAGAAAAGAAATCTGATATCAAACTAATTTTCTTCATAATAAAATACTTATATATTAGAAAGTGATTATTTAAAAATATAAGATATGAACATATTTAAGTTTCTAGATATATATTATATCTTTTTTTCTTACTGATTAATCTTTAACTAAGTTTTAATTATTCTTGTTTAAAAATATTCTATCAAATAAGAAATATACATCCATTAAGATAAAGTATTACTATATTTTTTATATTTTTAACTAGTTGTTATATTAATATTTGAATTAGTTAATTGAGATATGAATAATTATAATTATATTTATAATTATACTTGAGTATTCTCTAATAAGACTTAGTAATCATTATTATCTGAGCAATTAATATTGTATTAGTATATGAAATATGGATAAATAACTGTTAATTCTTATAATTATACCAATTATATCAAAGATATCTTCATACTATAACATAATTTTTTTGCTAGTAATATTAATAAGTCTTTTGAGTATAAAGTATATATAATTCTTAAGATATGAGAAATTGATCTATATCAAAAGATATTAAAGAATGTAAAAGAGTATATTTTTTTATTATTTACAATATTTTCTTAATTTTTTCTTTAATGTATTTGCAGATTTTTTGATCTCTAAAAAGTTATATTAGATTGATAAAACTAAATTATCAATGAGTTTTACTAAATTTCTTAGTTATATATTGTAATCAATCATCTAATTATGTAATGTAGTAGACATGATGCAGCATATGATACAGTCACAGTATGTGATGCAATAATTACTAATTACTACTAAATCAGACAAATAAGTAATTTTATTAATTAATCTTATTTATAATTAATTCTATTTTTAATCTATATTATT